ATTGTTTTTCTGAGTTCTCTTATAGCTGAGAACCTTTAGAACAATTATTTTGAATTCTTTGTTAGGCAATTTGTGTATCTCCATTTCTTTGGGGTCAGTTACTGGAAGTTTACTGTGTTCCTTTTGTGGTGTCATGTTTCCCTAATTCTTCATGATCCCTGCAGGCTTATGTGTGTGTCTGTGCATGTAAAGAAGCAGTCTCCTCTTCTAGACTTTATAGACTATTTTTGGTAAGAAAAGACCTTCACTTGTCTATAAGGATACACTGGAGTTGTGACTCTAGGTCTAGTGGTGTGTGGTGCCAAGAGTGGGGATGTGTGGTGGCTCCAGGTTTGGGGGTATGTGGTGTCTTGTCTGCTCATGTTTCTGGGGTCCACGACATCAAAAACTGCATGTTCCTTGGTGAGAGCTGTGAGAGATCCACAGTGGCTTCAAGGGCTTTTGGGGTCCTTGGCAGCACACACAGGTCCAGTGGTTAGGGAACAGGGAAGGTGGTAGTGGTGGCTGGAGCCAGTGTTTGCGCATGCTCAGCTGTGGGGGCTGGCTGCAAGTGCATCTATAACTGCAGGGGCTGCCTGCAGATACACTCCTAGTGATGAGGGTGGCTGGCTTCTGTGAACACAAAAACCTGTGGAGTGAAAACTTAAGTGGCAAAATCTGCAGGAAGTCTGCAGCGGCTGTTTTGGCAGTTGGTTTCTTCAGCAGTAAGAGCTGTTGGGATCCTCTGTGGAGCAGTCTGTTGGGGTCTGTAATGAGGTCCTCAGTGATGAAAACTGGGGGGTATTTTTAGTGTTTGCAAGGGCTGTTGAGGTTCTCAGCAGCAAAAACTGTGGACGTCATTTGCAGATGGGGTCATTTGCAGATGAGGCCACTGGGAACTATGATTGCTCTCACTATATGGTTGATACTGGTATCCCCTTTCCTTTTGCCTTGTTCTTAGTCATCTCTAGATGTCTCACTTTTGTGGGTCACTGGGTGAAGTGAAACCTAAGCAGGTCCTTTGTGTAGTGCCCCAAAAGTTTGGGGAAGCTGGTCATGCCGCCCGCTCTCCTTTTCTTGTGAGGGGAACTCTTTTGGGCTGGGGAGTTCCCTCTTGGCAGTGAGAAGTGCTGGTGTAAGGGAATGGGATGATGTAGGTAAAACAAAACTGTTCTTTTTACCCTTTTTTTGTGGTTATTCTCAGGGTGTTTTTGTTTGTTTGTTTGTTTGCTCCACTATGTTGCTTAGGGTTTTTTTTTTTTAATTAGCACATAGTGTTTTAATCACCTCTCTCCCCTACATTAATTTTTTTATTTTTTTACTTAAGGTTTTTAAGTGGATTCCTGAGCTCTCCCAGAGCTATTTTCATTTAAAAAAATATTTTATTTATTTATTTGAGAGAGAGTGAGAGAGAGAGAGCAGAGCAGAGACTGGGGCAGAGGGAGAGGAAGCAGACTTCCCGATGAATGGGGAGACTGATGTGGGGCTCAATCCCAGGACTCTGGGATCATGACCTGAGCTGAAGGCAGACGCTTAACAGACTGAGCCACCCAGGCGCCCCTGTGGATAACTGTCTAATTGTTGATCTTTGTTGGGAGAAGGAGGCTAGGGTCTCCTACTCTGCCATCTTGGTGACATTTCTCCCCCCAGAGTAGTTTCTTAAGAAATGATATTTACATAGAAAGTTTTTTTCTGAACCTTTTCTCAGAAAATGTCTTATTTTGAAATATGAATTTTATTCTCACACTTGATTGATGTGTTAGTGGGATATAGAATTCCAGGTTGGAAAAAATTTTCTAATAATTTTGAAGGTATTACACAACTGTCTTTCATCTCCAGGAGTTGTGAAGTCTAGTACCATTCACATACCCCGAAGTGACCCGCTTCCTTCTCTTTGGAAACTTTTATAATCCCTTTATTTCTGGTGTTCTGATATTTCACAACATACTCTGGTGTGAATCTTTTTCTACTCCTTGTGGTAGGTACTTGGTGAGCCCTTTCAATCTGGAGTCACATTCTTTCAGATTTGGAGACTTCTTAAAATATGATTTATTTTACAATTTCTTCCTCTATTTTCTTTGTTTTCTCTTTTTGGGAATTCTTCTATTATTCAGTTGTTGGATTTCTAGGATTGATTTTATTATCTTTTTTCTCCTATTTTCCATCTCTTTTGTCTTTTTGTTCCAATATTCAAATTCATCTTCTAGCCCTTCCACCCACTGAATTTCTAAATTTCTACTGCTTTTTTCCCCAAAGAGCTTTTAAAAAAATATTTTTAAGTGCTCCTTTTCCACAATGCCTCTTATCTTGTTGCATAGCCTTCTTTTCTTGTTTCATAACTAGGGATTTTCTCATCTTTCTGAAGATATTAGTTAAAATTGTTTTGAATTATTTTTCTGCTTTTTCCTTTGACTAGAGTATCCCCTCCTTATCTGCAGTTTTGCTTTCCCTGGTTTCAGTTACCTGTGTCAACTGCGTTCTGGAAGCTGATGACCTTCCTTCTGATGTATCATCAGAAGGTCAATAGTAGCCTAACGCTACATCACAATGCCTACATAATTCATCTCACTTCATCTCATCATGTAGGCATTTTATCATCTCACATCATCACAAGAAGAAGGAGGAGTAAAGTACAATAAGATACTGAGAGAGACAGAGAAAGAGGTCACATGTATGTAACTTTTATTACAGTATATTATAATTGTTTTATTTTATTATTAGTTATTATTGTTAATCTCTTACTGTGCCTAATTTATACATTAAACTTTATCATAGGTATGTATATATAAGGAAAAACATATAGAGTTTGGTATTATCCATGGTTTCAGGCATCCACTGGGGGGTTTGGAACATTTCCCCCAAGCATAGATGGGGATTACTGTATTTCCTCCAAGTTCCTTCTTTGCTGTCTTGTCTGTCTTTCATACCAGTTTCTGTTTCATAACAAGTCTGTTTCATAACAGACTTTTATTATATGTCATATGATTCTTGGTTGTTTATGTTTAAGGGCGAGGTGTTTTTGTTTTAGTAGTACAAATGTCTTTTCATTGCAGGCTGGAGATGTCAGTATCTGAATAAAGGATATTGGAATTCACTGCCAGCATCTAGGGAGGCCAGTGGGAGAAGAGGACTTGGAGGATTTCACCACGCATTATGTTGACTTTCACTTAATCTCCCTGTTTCAGTAGAAAATTCACTCCCAACCTTGGCTGTGTCTGATGTCCCAGAATCTTTCTAGTGTAACCTCTCTGGAGAGTAAATCTCTATGTGGCATGGATAAGAAATACTTGCTTAGCTGTGGAGTGAGGAAGGGGATCTGTAGATCACATTGCTCTTTTTAAAGACTTTCTACTTACTCAGCCATCAGAAAGGATGAATACCCAACTTTTACATCAACATGGATGGGACTGGAGGAGATTATGCTAAGTGAAATCAGTCACGCAGAGAAAGTCAATTATCAGATGGTTTCACTTATTTGTGGAACATAAGGAACAGCATGGAGGACATTAGGAGAAGGAGGGGAAAAATGAAGGGAGGGAAATCAGAGGGGGTGATGAACCATGAGAGACAATGGACTCTGAGAAACAAACAGGGTTTTAGAGGGGAGGGGGGAGGGGGGATGGGTTAGCCTGGTGATGGGTATTAAGGAGGGCACGTAATGCATGGAGCACTGGGTGTTATACAAAAACAACAAATCATGGATCACTACATCCAAAACTAATGATGTAATGTATGGTGATTAACATCACATAATAAAATAAAATTTAAAAAAATAGACTTTACCAATTCTTCTACTTTCAACTGTATTCACATTCCTGACTTTGGAGGTAACTGGTGCCTCCATTTCCTGAGCCTTTTATTGTTTTGTGACATGAAATGGCTGCCTTCTTCTTCTTTTTTTAAAAGATTTTATTTTTAAGTAATCTCTACACCCAACATGGGGTTCAAACTCACAACCCGAGATCAAAAGTCAAATGCTCTACTGACTGAGTCACCGAGTGCCCTTGAAGTGGCCTTCTTGTTTGCTTCCCCTTTCAGGCTCAGTTTGCACTACTTATGTTCTTTCATCCACTTTTTGGTTTTTGAAATTTAACTGACACCTCTTATCTGCTATAATGTTCTCTACTCTTCTCTTAGTCTTTGTGGATTATGGCTTTTTAATTTCTTTTACATCTTTTTAGTATTTTAGGAAGTGGTAAAGATAAATGCAAATATTAAAAAAGTGCAGTGTTTATCCAGAAGCTCAAAATATGTATCTCTGTCTTATCTACTCAACTAGATTATGAACTTTTTAAGTGCAGAGACTTTTATTTTGAGCAGTAAGATTCTGGCATATATCTTCATAGCTCCTGAATCTAGAAAAATGACTTAAATATAGAAATTATTTAAGAAACATTACTGGATTTTTGAAATAGAAAATCTAATAACTAATATCTTTATTTTACATTTTAAATATTTTAAAAAATTTCTTATATTTCCATAGCCTTCACTTTGTTTATCCTCACCATCATCATAGATAGGCATTGTTATTATGCTATTTCACAGATAGATTATATCTGAATTATTGATCAGATTGAGTCAAGTTAATAAAGTATTTCTCCACATAATGTGAATGTGTAATCTGTATTAGATCAACATGAAATTATACATGGTTCCCAAACTTGCCATGATAAGGTATGTCTCTTTGCCTTTTTCAGTGCTTTTATTTTTAGTTCTTGGCACCTCCTACCATCAAACTTTTCAGGCCTGTTTGAAGTAATAACCACTCTATGAAGCCTTAGAGAATCCAGGTATAGTTGGTAAATATCTCCTTTGTACTTTCATAGCAGTATAGATATTCATTAATATTACAGCACATATCATAGTGCATAGCATTTATTTTTATTTTATATGTGCTGTCCATCTCTACACTGAGTGTTTTTAGGACCTGGACTTTGTCTCACTTATCTCTGTAACTCAGAGCCTAGTATTATGTCTAGTCTGATGGCAACCAATTAACTTTTACTGGGTGGATGAATACCTCACTGGCAAATTAAACACTCACCATCAAGCGGCAAACTTTTCATCAACACAGTGTTTTCCTTCAGTCTGAGTCTTAACCCTATGTTTTTCAGAGTATTTTCCAGGTCTTCAGAGGTAACTTCTTCCCCTTAAAAAAGAAAATAATGGTAAAAGGTCAGATTTCAAGCTTTAAATCATCATCATCATATCAACTATTTTTGTGTAGCATCATTCTCAAATATAGGATAAAAAGCAATGGAAACATTAAGTGTTGTCTAATTACAGAAAATTAGAAAGGAGATTCAGAAATAGAACTTCTTCTTGGTAAAAGGGGATTCATCAATGTTGGGAACAAGGTACAGGATGCAGAAGGTTTGGTTTTTTAACAGCCCACTAAATTAACTGGTGTAAATAATTCTGCCTGCATGTAATATTTGCTCTATTGTTTTATTTTTGCCTAAATTATGAGTTTGTTCACATGGTCATATTACCTGTATGTGTAATTTGCCTTAGCATTTTGCTATTTGAACAGTAGAAAATAAAATTATATTGCTGAAAAACTCCAAAGAACATAGGCGTTGTTATTTATGCATTACACTGTGGCCTTTTGAATAAGAAGTAGGTAACAACTGATTATAATATTGAATAACATTTAATTTATAAGGTTGTTTCTTTAGTTATATATACATTACCAGTTAAAAGAGATATAATGACAGGATTAATATATCATGAATAGATAACAGAAAATACTTCAAGAATAACTTGTTTTGTTAAATATTAAGAGATTATTTTTATTATGCCTTATCACAATTTCTTCTCACTCACCTAGAAGTTCATGCACTTCATCCAGAAGTTTAACCATTTTAACTCTTCTCTCCTCTACAAGGCAAGACAAAATTTAGATATAGTCCTGCTAGGGACTGAATTGTGTCCCCTCAAATTTATATTTTGAAGCCCTAACCTTTTTTTTAAAAAAGATTTTATTTATTCATTTGAGAGAGAGACAGAGAGAGCACACAAGGAGGGGGAGAGGCAGAGGGAGAAGCAGGCTCCCCGCTGAGCCAGCCAGGAGCCTGATGTGGGGCTCCATCCCAGGACCTGGAAATCATGACCTGAGCTGAAGGCAGAAGCCCAACCATCTGAGCCACCCAGGTGCCCCAGCCCTAACCTCTGAGATGACTATTTGGGGATAAGGTCTTTAGGAGGTAATTAAGGTTGTGAGGTCATAAGGGTGAAACCCTAATCTGATAGGACTGTGACCTTAAAAGAAGAGGAAGATACCCCTTTCTCTCTCTGTCTCTCTCTTTCCCCCCCTGTGTCTCTCCCTGCTCTCCATCTTTTCTATTCCCTGCTATGTGAAGACACAGTGAGAAGAGAGGCTCTGCAAGCATGGAAGAGAGAATCCCCATCAGAAACTGAATCAGCTGGTACCTTGATCTTGGATTTCCCTGTATCCAGAACTGTGAGAAAATAAATTTCTGTTGTGTAAGTCACAGACTATGGTATTTTGTTATGGTAGCCTGAGTGGACTAATACAGGTCCCCATTACATAAAATTCTTAAACTGTGGAGTAAAGTATAAGGATTTACCAGTTGCCCAAAGATCCCCCCCAATTAGATATTTTATTTTCACACTATATAAGCACAAGGTTGAAAAAAATATCTAAATATGGTAGATACATCTACTCTATTCATTCAACTTTTTGTGTTCCTCATTCATCAGAATGGAAGAAGAGAATTTATTTTCATTTTTTTAAATATCAGCTTTATCTTCTTTTTTTTAAACATATAATGTATTATTTGTTTCAGAGGTACAGATCTGTGATTCAACAGTCTTGCACACTTCACAGCGCTCACCATAGCACATACCCTCCCCAATGTCTATCCCCTAGCCACCCCATCCCTCCCACCCCCCACCACTCCAGCAGCCCTCAGTTTGTTTCCTGAGATTAAGAATTCCTCATACCAGTGAGGTCATTTGATACATGTCTTTCTCTGATTGATTTATTTCGCTCAGCATAATACCCTCCAGTTCCATCCACGTTGTTGCAAATGGCAAGATTTCAGGGGAGGAAGAATGAAGAGGGGGTAATCAGAGGGGGAGATGAACCATGAGAGATGATGGACTCTGAAAAACAAACTGAGGGTTCTAGAGGGGAGGGGGGTGGGAGGATGGGTTAGCCTGGTGATGGGTATTAAAGAGGGCACGTTCTGCGTGGAGCACTGGGTGTTATGCACAAACAATGAATCATGGAGCACTACATCAAAAACTAATGATGTAATGTATGGTGATTAACATAACAATAAAAAATTATTAAAAAAATAAAAAAAATAAAAATAAAATGAAAAAAATACCAGCTTTATTGAGGTATAATTAGCCAATAAAATTGTAATATATTTAAAGTGTACATCATGATGATTTGATATACGTATAACCAAAAGGAATCCCCCATCTAATTAACTAACACATCTATCACCTCACATATTTATCTTTTTGTGTGTGTGAGAACATTTAAAGTTTCTACTCTCTTAGCAAATTTCAATTATATAATATAGTGTTATCAACCATGTTTTACATTAGGTCCTCTGACCTTATTCATCTTATAGCTGAGAGTTTGTGTCCTATTGCCATTTTGTTCATAATCGTTTTCTGGCTGTTTCATAATTCCTTTGATCCTTTCTTCTCTTGGTCTCTTCCTTTGTAATTTATTTTCTTAGTGGTATGCTTAGATTCCATTCTCTTTATCTTTTGTGTATCCACTATAGGTTTTTGCTTTGTGGTCACTATGAGTTTTATTTATAAAACCTATTTATAACAGTCTACTTTAAGCTTATAAGAACTTAATACATACCAAAGGTATACATTTTTACTCTCTCCCCATTTTATAAAGTTTTTGTTCTCACAACTTAACATCTTTTACCTGTGTATCTACTAACAAATTAATGTAATTATAGTTATTTTTAATACTTTTGTCTTTTAATATTCATACTAGATTAGTGATTTATCCCCTACTATTACATTAGAATATTTTGAAATTAACTGTATATTTACCTTTAGTAGTGGAATTTATATTTTCATGTTTTCGTTACTAATTAGCATCCTTTTGTTCAAATTTGAAGAAGTTCAACACTTCTTTTTTTTTAAGATTTTATTTATTTATTTGACAGAGAGAGAGACAAAGCAAGAGAGGGAACACAAGCGGGGGATTGGGAGAGGGAGAAGCAGGCTTCCCGCTGAGCAGGGAGCCCGATGCGGGGCTCAATCCCAGGACCCCGGGACCATGACCTGAGCTGAAGGCAGACACCTAACGACTGAGCCACCCAGGCGCCCTCCTTTAACATTTCTTGCACGGCTACTCTAGTAGCCTCACTCCTGAAGGAGTGATGGACTCCTTCAGCTTCTGCTTGTCTGGAAAACTCTTAAAAAAAAAAAAGATTTTATTTGTTTATTTATTCATTTATGAGAGAGAGAGAGAGAAAGAGAGAGAGTGAGCTGGGGAGGAGCAGAGGGAGAGGGACAAACAGAGTCCACACTGAGAAGCCTGACATGGGGCTCGATCTCACAACCCTGAGATCATGACCTGAGCCAAAATCGAGTCAGGAGCTTAACTGATTGAGCCGCCCAGACACCTCTGGAAAGCTCTTTATCTCTCTTTCAATTCTGAGGGACAACTTTGCCAAGTAGAGTATCCTTGGTTGGCAGTTTTTTTCTTCTCACACTTTGAATATAGAATGCCACTCCTCTCTGGCCTGCAAAATTTCTCCTGAAAAATCTGCTGATAGTCTTATGGGGGTTTCCTTGTATATAACACTTTTTCCCCCGACACTTAAGAGTTCCTCCTTGCCTTTAACTTTTAACAATTTAATTGCAATGTATCTTCGTGTGGCTAGCTTTGCTTCATCTTATCTGGAACTTCCTGGATCTTGTCTGTTTCTTTCCTCACGGTAGGTAAGTTTTCCTGTCCTTTTCTCTCTCTCTTCTCCTTTTGGGAGATATTGTGTAGTGTGAACATTGGTTCATTTCCTGGTAGCCCATAAATCCCATAAGCTATCTTCACTCTTTTTCTTTTCGCTCCTCTGTTTGGATAAATTCCACTGCCTGTATTTGAGTTTGCTAATTCTTTCTTCCACTGATCTAGTCTGCTGTTGAACCCCTCTACTGAATTTTTTAGTTCAGTTATTTTATTCTTCAGCTCTGGGATTTCTGTTTGGTACTTTCTTATGTTTTCTATCTGTTGAAATTCTCACTTTGGTCATGCACTGTTCTCTTGTCCTCAGTGAACATCATTTTTATGATCATTATTTTGAACTCTTCATCAGGTAAATCATCTCCACTTCACTAAGGTCTGTTTCTGGAATTTATTCTTGTCCTTTTGTTTGGAACATATTCCTTTGCTTCTTCATTTTCCTTGCCTCTCTTTACTGGTTTCTGTATCTTACACAAAAGAGCTACCTCTTTTATTCTTAAAAAAGCTTTTTATTTTAAGTTTTTATTTGAATTCCAGTTAGTTATCATACAGTGGTTGTATTAGTTTCAGATGTACAATATAGTGACTCAACACTTCCACACATCACCCAGTGCTCATCACAAGTGCCCTCCCTCATCCCCATCACCGATTTGACCCAGCCCCTCACTCCCCTCCTTCTCTGGGGATCATCAGTTTTTTCTCTATAATAAGAGTCTGTTTCTTAATTTTTCTCTCTCTCTCCCTTATTTTTTTCCCTTTACTGTTTGTTATGTTTCTTAAATTCCATATATGAGTGACATCATGTGCTATTTGTTTTCTCTGAATTATTTCACTTAGCATAATACTCTCTAGCTCCATATATATATATATGTATATGTGTGTGTGTGTGTCTGTGTGTGTGTATACACACACACCACATCTTCTTTATCCATTCATTAATCAATGTCTTGCTAGACTGGTCTCATGTAGGAGATAAACCTTACTGTTCAGCTTAGCCTGAGCTCCTGGTTGTCTCAAACCTTTTTGATTAGCTAAGCTACCTTCTTTGTTTTCAGCGGCTACCAGTAGTTGAGGGTGTGCCAAGACTTGTCAGTGTTCCAAAATGGAGGAGCTCAGGCAACACCTAGATGTAGGCTGATTTTTTCATTTTTTAACTTGTCAAATATTTGCTGGATGCCTACATATATGCCAGGCCCTATTTTCAGTGCTGGCAATACAAAGCAAACAACATGAAGTCTCTGCTTCTGTGGCAGCAATTACTAATGTCAAAGCAACCACTGGGTTACAAATAATTTCAGGCCAAACAATAGAGCATAGCATTAAAACAGAAATTTATTTAAAGTGCTTTTACTATCTCTCTCTGTTCCTTGGATCTCTTTGGTTTCTTTGGTTATATATATATTTTTAAAGATTTTATTTATTTATTAGAGAGGGAGAATGAGAGATAGAGAGCACAAGAGGGAAGAGGGTCAGAGGGAGAAGCAGACTCCCCGCTGAGCAGGGAGCCTGATGTGGGACTCGATCCCAGGACTCCAGGATCATGACCTGAGCCGAAGGCAGTCGCTTAACCAACTGAGCCATCCAGGCACCCTCTTTGGTTATATTTTTAAAACTCAGTTCTCGGTACCTTTACTGAGCAGAGGCAATAATATTTATTTTGAGACATTCAGCTAGATTGCCCTCTAGATAATTTAGGGTGGGGCCATATTCTAATTCCAACAGGAGTTTTATATAGTCTTGCTTGACTAATGTGTTACAGACAGAGTTATGAAAAAAGGGTTAGAATTAGAAAAGAAATAGGAGACCACTTTTTTGACAAGCAGAAAGTCTTGATTTCAAGCATCATCAGATCATATTAGATAAGCTTAGGTAAACCAACACTTCTAGGATGCTTATCAAACTATTAATCAGTCTATACAATCATTTCAAGATGTTAAAGATGTTAAGATGCTTAAGATACTAAGAGTTATATAGAGTACTCTGATCAGATGCTGTTGCTAAAAATCATGCCAAAAAGTCCTAATCCCATGGGGTGCCTGGGTGGCTCCGTCAGTTAAGCATCTGCCTTCAGCTCAGGTCATGATCCCAGGGTCCTGGGATCAATTCCCACATCAGGCTTCCTGCTCAGCAGGGAGTCTGCTTCTCCATCTCCGTCTACCCTTCTCCCCTGCTCTCATGCTCTCTCTCTCTCTTGCTCACCTGCTCTCTCTCTCAAATAAATAAAATCTTTGAGTATTTAAGGGAAAAATAGTTATGATTCAAGTCTATGGGGCACCTGGCTGGCTCAGTTGGAAGAGCATGTGATTCTTGACCTCGGGGTTGTGAGTTTGAGCCCCCATGTTGGGTGTAGAGATTACTTAAATAAATAAAACTTAAAAAAAGATTCAAGGGTGCCTGGTTAGCTCAGTCAGTTGAGTGTCTGCCTTCAGCTCAGGTCATGATCTCAGGGTTCTGGGATTGAGCCCCTTATGGGGCTCCCTGATCAGTAGGGAGTCTGCCTCTCCCTCTCCCTTTGCCCCTCTGCCCGATTATGCATGCTCTCTCTCTCTAATAAATATATCAATCTTAAAAAAAAGAAAAAATCTTTAAAAAGTACTAATGCCACATAAATTTACTAATACATATTTTTCTTTATATGATAAAGGTTAGCTATTTTTTTTAAAGATTTTATTTATTTATTTGACAGAGAGAGAGAGAGAGCGTACATAAGCGGGTCGGGGTGGGCAGAGGGAGAGGGAGAAGCAGGCTCTCCACTGAGCAGGGACCCAGTGCAGGGCTCAATCCCAGGACGCTGGAATCATGACCTGAGCCTGAGGCAGAGGCTTAACTGCCTGAGCCACCCAGGCACCCCAAAGTTTAGCTATTTCAACAAATTAACTGTAGTGGGGGTTGCTTAGTTAAAATTAAGATTCATGGGCTCTGCCTATGACCTATTTGATCATAGTCTTGAGGGGGTGGGTAATTTCTGTGTAATTCAAAGCTTGATACCTATGAATTTAGTGTAATTGTTAGATATATATTTATTTTGCAACAGTACAAACATTTAACAGTTTCCTGCACTCTTCCCCCCATTTCTTTTTGTTGCCCTCTGAAATCCTTTATAATTTTCTCTCCTACTCCTCAAAAAATATAATTTTCTGTCCTACCCCTCAAATGTAATTTTTTGTTTTGTTTTATTTTTTAATGTTTACTTGATCCCAACACTGACTGTCATTTCGTTTTGGTATTCTCTGGCATAGGAAGTCTGCAAGCAGCAATGTGAGCAATTACCGATATTTTATCTAAGATTAATATTGAGACAATATATCTCCATTCTTTAGGATTGGATCTCTATAAACTTCTGTTTTTTCCATGAAATTAATAAGTATGTTTGAGAGGTTTCCACAGGAAAACAAAAATTTCCTTCCAGGGCACTGTGTACTTGAAATGCTCACCATCAATTGGCAAGTGAGTGTACAGTTCCTCAATTTCTTCCTCCTCAAGTGAGAATCCCATGTTTTCAAGAACATCATCTAGTTTACTGATATTAACTTTTCCTCCTTAAGAAGGGAAGAGATAAGAATAAAATAAATTTGTATTTACGCCAGAGAGGGAAAAAATGTTTGGTCACATAAACTGACCAACACAAACAGGAAGTAAGAAGCAATGTCACCATAAAGGTCTAGGAATGATCAAAAGAATTAGTTAAGGATTAGAAATAGAAAAATTCTCCCTGTCCGTTTTCCAGAAAATACTACTACAGCAATTTCTAGGGTGAGTTTACCCAGAAGAAAGAGAAGAGCAGGCAAGACAGGTGAGTTATAGGAAACAGACAATCAATACACAAATTTCTTACTTTTAAGACTTCAACCTGGTGATGGGTATTAAAGAGGGTACGTTCTGCGTGGAGCACTGGGTGTTATGCACAAACAATGAATCATGGAACACTACATCAAAAACTAATGATGTAATGTATGGTGATTAACATAACAATAAAAAATTTAAAAAAAGACTTCAAATTTGCAACAATGACAAAATAGCATAGGCAATTTTCCCAAATGTGATTGTATACAATTAAGAATGCCAGCTCATTAAAAAAAAAGAGTAACATAATTAGCAATCTAATCATTGAGAAGTAAGAGATTTTAGAAAAGTAAATGCAAAAGCTTGAGGATGTTTTCTCTTCCCCAGCATGCTTCTCACTCACCTCTGTATGTCTTCACTCCATCCATCAATCTATTCTTATACACTTTTCTATTATCTGTAACATAAGGGTCAATTTAGTTTACCAAGAAGTGGAAATTGAGAAAGACAGTAATACTTATTTTTAGATTTTGTAAGTTATTACTAGTTATAATCCAAAGAAGGAAGCAAAGAAATGACTAAGATTCTCAAGGTTACTATTCATTCTCTGGCATCTGATGTACTATTGGTGGAACTCCAACACATTGAAACAGATTTTTTTCTTTTCTTCTTTTCTAAAATGTCCCTTCTTTCCCTTCTACAACTGTTTTATCACCTTCTTCCTATCTTTGGCTTTAGACTGATTATAGACGCGGGTTCCAACATTTAAAAATGTTTATAACAGCAATACCCCAAAGAGAACACTACTCTCAAATTAAGATTTAAATGGTAAGGACAGAATATTTTATGTCAGAAGTGGCTCTTTCTACTTTTCTCTTAATTTTTAAACATTGAGTTATGATTGACACAAAGATTGTGAAGTTTAAGGTATACTGATTTGATACATTTATATTGTAATATGATTGCCACTGTATCATTAGCTAATACTTTGATCACGTCAAATAAATATTATTTCTTTTTGTGGTGGGAACAATTAAGATCTGGCTACTTAGCAACTTTAATGTTTACAATACAGTTCTGTTGTCTGTAATCCCCATACTGTGTATCACATCTCCAGTACTCATTTATCCACTAGTAAGTATGTATCCATAAGCAACATCTCTCCATTCTTCTATTACTGCCCTTTCCCCCTCTGGCAACCATCAGTTTGTTAGTTTGTTCTCTGTATTTATAGGTCTGATTCTGTTTTTTGTTTAATCTTTTTTTTTTTTTAGATTCACGTATGAGTGAAGTCAAATGGTATTTGCCTTTCTCTGCCTGACTTATTTCACTCAGCATAATACCCTCTAAGTCCATCCATGTTGTTGCAAATGGAAAGACCTCATTTTTTTTAATGGCTGAGTAATAATCTATTGTGTATATATACCACATCTTCTTTATCCATCTTGGGCTATTTCCATATCTTAACTATTGTAAATAATGCTGCAGTAAACATAAGGGTGCACATTTCTTTTTAAATTCGTGTTTTTGTTTCTTTGGGTAAATACCCAGTGGTGGAATTATTGGATCATATGGTATTTCTACCTTTAATTTTTTGAGAAACCTCCTACTGTTTTCCACCATGGCTGCACCAATCTACATTCCCAATAGCGCGCGAGGGTTCCTTTTATAATCCACATCCTTGTCAACACTTGCTATTTCTTGTCTTTTTGAGTCTAGCCATCGTGACAGGTGTAAGGTGATATCTCAGGGAAATGCAAATCAGAACGACAAGGAGATGTTACCTTACACTTGTCAGAATGCCTTTGTGGCAAAATTTTAAGCTTTTATATTTTTTTCTGGTTCTTAGAATTCACCAGGTTGGCTACTGAAAACTTTTGTTTTCCACTAGGTGGCGCTATAGCTTAAGTTTATGGCTTTCCCCCTCCAGACTCTGGGTAGCTTGTTTTCTGAGCATGCTAACTGTAGCTCGCTCTAGAGGATGCACTTGTGACCCTTGCACAAGGAGCTAGCAGCAGAGTAGGGGGAGGTGTGGGTTTAGCATCTGAACATTGGGGATGCCTGACAAGTACAGGGAGATCCCAAGGTATGGTACTCCCAGAGGCTCGTGGGTCGACTTCCTGCTGAGCGCAATCTCTTTAATGCCAATTAAAATTCATATCTGCCTCTTTCCCTGTCAGAGAGCTCCCACCTTAGTGCTCTGGGTGCTGGTGGAGAGAAATGGGTTTTTCCATCTGGTCCTGCTCTGCTGGGGTAGCCAAGCACTCACTCACTGCTTTCCTTTCCCCTGTGGGAGAGGTCACTGTGGTCTATGCATCCCTCCCTTGGGGGAGAGCGGTGCCGGGAAAGTTTCTCTTACTGCCTCCACTGTGGCCAAACTCCTATTTTTCTTCCTTTCTTTTTCTCTGATGGTGGGCTGGAGTCTCCCTCCAGGAAGGCTGGACTTCTGCAAATTCTCATGCCTGGGTCAGCACTCACCTGATCTTTGCCTGACAGCAGTGAGAGAGGTGTAGGCAATTTTGCTGACTGTGTTGATTCTGCAGCCCTGTATGGAGGTTGCCTGTCTTTTACCAGTGGCACTTGTGAGCGAGGCTCCTCCTGGGTCCCTTAGAGTAAGGTGCTAGTTCCCAAAACACTCATACAGGCACTCTTGTTTGTGTGTGTGTGTCCAACTCATTGATTAAAAAAGGAACAACTTACATGCCATGTTGCTGATGTCATTCCCTTTAAAATTTTTAACAACACTTTAAAGAGTTATACTTCTAGAATTTTACACAATAACTCAATATTCTCTGAAATCCACTGCAATGCCTGAAATGCTTACCATCCAATGGCAATATGTTCAGCAGATCCAGGCTTTCTTTCCTTGTTAATTCAATTCCTACATTTTCCAGATAAAGTTGTGTGTCACTGGCATTAATTTTACCACCTTTAAAAAGATGGGAAATATGATATGTGAATTTTCATATATAACAATCCTACTTTAAGATAATTGTAATAAAACAGCAGTATTTCAACTTGCTAGAGATGTAACTGCAGAAGACCAAGGACACAATGAGGCCTATCTAACTGCATCACAAGAGGGGGTTAAAAGATAACATGTTTCCCTTAAGCCTTGTCAAAAGAATGCTTTTTTTAATGCTCTAAAAAATATAGAGACAAACCAACCAGCCTATAAATACACTTCTTAAAAAAATGATACTTCTAGGGATGCCTGGGTGGCTCAGTCAGTTAAGCGGCTGCCTTCGGCCCAGGTCATGATCCCAGGGTCCTGGGATCGAGTCCCACATTGGGATCCTTGCTTAGCAGGGAGCCTGCTTCTCCCTCTCTCTCCCTCTGCTTGTGCTCTCTCTGTCAAATAAATAAAATCTTTTAAAAAAATGATACTTCTAAAATCACAGGTAATAAAAAGCCCATCTATATTCTTAAAAACAAATATGTCATCAGCATATTGGTAAAATAAGGCTTGTGTACAGTTTTAGAATACTGGGATATACAATTAAAATATGGTATGTACATACAACATAGGATCTTGATTTTACATCTTTTCATCATTACTTCTCACTCACCAGAAAATAAATTTGCTGCACCCATAAAGGAGCTCAGTGAAATCTTTCCATTACCTGAAACACAAACCATAAATCATATATAAACAAAATATGTATTGCTATTGGGAATAGGATCTCTTTTTTTCCATGAAATTTTCTAAGTTGTCATTCCTTACATGAGGAAATTTGTTGATGTAAACATTTTCTTTTATATCCAACCACATTATAGAATTCTAAAGAGGGTGTTTTAACAAACACTAAATTAGATCTTTAATTCTTTAATTCTTTTCCATTTGATCCTTTTTACTTAACAGATACCTCTTTGGTGCCATATTATTGGTCTAAAGTGAGATATCGCTGAGCCTCTATTTCAACCCAACATGACATTCATATTTATTAAATGAGAATATGATCACCTCTAGTTGTACATTACATACCAAGAAATTCTAAACCTTTGCTACCTCCTCATTTGGTTTTGTCCATTTCTGACCTTTTCTGATATCTATTTCAATAACTCCTGTTGTTTTCCTCTGAAGTGCTGTTTTGTTTTTCCTAGCTAAGTTTAAATCTACCAGTGCCCTATTGATCCTCTGACAATACTGGGAATAATAACCAGAAGTCATATTTCTCATCCTCGAGGATTAAAACTCTATAAGTACTTCTAACTTTCTAAGTGAAGTTGAATAAGAGTACCCAGATTTCATGAGAAGATTTCAAAGATTTTTCTGACGGGAAGTGTAAGTGGTAAATGAAATACTCACTGTCAGTTTTCAGATGATTGCGTAGATCTTGGATTTCTTTCTTTTTAAGGTCATAGTTCAAGTTTTCCAGAATGTTTTCTATTTTATTCTCTAAAATTTTCCCACCTTAAGAAAGAAAGAGGAAATAAAAATGTGGAATTATGCCTAAAATTAAAAGAATTCTAGTTAAGTCTATGCACCAAACCCTAATGGGAGGGAGAAATGCAAATGTTCAAGGAAAACACAAAACTAAGGTGGCAGGGGGCAGGGCTGGGGAATGTGAAGAAAAGAACATATCCCTTACATACGTTATAAGATACTCTGTTAAAATTTGTTATAGACATCTAAAGCAAAGAAAATAAGTGAGGTCAATTACTCATTCTTCACTTATTATTCATAATGGGGGAATATGTCAGAAATAACAGCCATAATTCTGGCTTCTGAGTTTGAAATCATTATAACTGTAAATTACTTCTACAAATTTACTGGTTATTGAACTTGAGTTGTAAGTCATAAAGGGGAATGAAAAAGGTTAATAACTTAACTGTTAAATATAACAGAGTGGTTAGGAATATGGGTTCAAATCCTCTTCCAGTGTTCAAACTGTGTGACCTTATTAGGCAAGTGAATCAGTATCTCCCATCTGTAAAATGGTGCTAATATAAGTACATATCTCTTAGGACTTTTGTGATAATTAAATGGGTTGCTAGATGTATTTAGAACAGTGCCTGGCATTATGATCAAGAGAAAGTAGCTATCATTATCATTAAGCAATTAAAGGGATTTCCTACATCAAAAACTAATGATGTACTGTATGGTGACTAACATCACATAGTAAAATAAAATTAAATTAAAAAAATAAATGTAAAAAAAAATAAAGGGATTTCCAAAAGGAAACATAAAACTTAAAAGGTCTCATTTTTACTTGGCTTCTTATTATGCTTATCACTCACCTTGAAAAGTCTTTAAACCATCTAGCAACCGACTGCAATACACCTTTCCATCAGCTATAAGAGAAGTCATAATTGATGTCATGGAGAAAGTGACACAGAAATTCATAACAAGAGTATAGACTATTTCTTTTTTTTTTAAAGTTTTTTTTTTTTTTTTAGAGAGAGAGAGTGCATGGGGGGGGGTGGGGGGGGGGGGGGAGGAAGCAGACTCCCCTCTGAGCACAGAGCCCCACACTGGGCTCCATGCCAGGACCCCAAGGTCATGACCCTAGCCGAAACCAAGTTGGACACTTAACCAACTGAACCACCCAGATGCTCCGAGACTATTTCATAAAGACAATAATGTCACCTGATTGGCCTTACAAATTTATCTAATTTCTTATCCACACATCCTTCTCCTCCTTGGTTTTAAGAATAAAGGGAAGGAATAGAGTAAGGTTTTATATTTATCTCTTTTACTGTTCTGAAACATCTTTTTGATTTGACATTTTTTACATGACTTCCTCTTTCCCCCCTACTTCTTTTTCTCTATGCGTTAGGACTGTCAGACATTTCAAAGTCAATATCTTAAACTAAAATTGATCAATTTAAAAATCTTAATTTCTTTATGAAGTTCCCAAGCTAAATCCTAATAGAATTAGCTCCATCCCTTATAATAGCCTCCATGAGGGCAAGGATTTTTGTCTTTAATCTCATAACCTAAGAAGAGCTCGATAAATATATTGACTATAAATATATACTTAATGAATGTTTAATGATTCCCCACCTGCCTCAACAATATATGACACTCAAACTACATTCTCCTAAAGGCCACAGCAGTATCAGAAATGCTCACAAGTAATTGGCAGAGTTTTTCGCAGCTTCCAGAGCTCCTTAGGTGTGAGTTCTATCCCTATGTTTTTCAAAACATCACCTACTTCATCAAAATGAATCTTGATTCCTTTGAAAAGATAGAAATTATGACTGATGAAAAACTTAAGAGTTATGAATGATTCTAAATTATGAGTTTCATCTAGGTTTAATTGCAGAATTGAGACCAGGGTTGATAAAAGTGCTGAGTCAAGACTCTAAGGAAATGTCAAAAACAGAACTAAACCTCATAATTCTAGAGAGGAAAAAAATACCTTTTGAATGCTCTAATAAATGTGGGATAAATGAACACTCTGAAATGGGAATTGTATAAGAGACCAGAACCACTTATATAAATGACTATATAAATAATTCTATAAAGATGGCATCTATATTACTTTTTATTTGCCTATGTGATAAGTTATTCAGAAAAAAGATTTATACCAATGTTTTATCATGCCAATTATTGTGGTAACATAGATTTTTGGCTGTTCAAACAATGGAAAGTGAAAAAAATTTCAGAGAACGCAGGATATTTTACTAAGACATAAAAATTCAGTAGTTTTGCTCAAAAAGCATACAGCCCAAAACCAATCTGGATTATTGTATAAAAGACACCATTAATATACCAAGAAGAATAATAATGTCAGTATTATAGGAATAAAGTGTTTAAAAGTATAACAAAAAAGCATGAGAATATTGCTATTTATAATGACTTTTTCCTATCAGCTTTCACTCACCTCTGAACGGCTCTACATTTTTCATGAGCGTATTCAGCTTAACCTTTTCATCTGTAAGATAATGTACAAATGAGACCCAGCCATAATGAATCAGATCCAGGAAACATCATAGAAACTTTATATTGTAGAATGAAACATTGAAATTTAGAAACTTATCCCAATTTGTTCTATAAATGTATCCCAGATAAGCATGGAATTGAAGAATCAAATTCTAAATACGATAAATATATAACACAGAAGAAGAAATTGTAGTATAAAATACCAAATTCTATACATAGCAGTGCTAGGAAGTTATTGATTGTTTGTTTTTTAGTTTCAGGTATAAAATTTATTGATTCAACACTTTCATACATCATCCAGTGCTCATCACAAGTGCCCTCCTTCATCCCCATCACCGATTTGACCCATCCCACCACCTACCTCCCCTTTGGTGACCATCAGTTTGTTCTCTATACTTAAGAGTTTCTTGGTTTTCCTCTCTCCTTTCTTCCCCCACGATTGTTTGTTTCTTCAATTGCACATGAGTGAAATCATATGGTATTGGTCTCTCTCTGACTGATTTATTTCGCTTAGCAAAATTCTCTCTAGCTCCATCCATGTCGTTGCAAATGGCAAGATTTCATTCTTTTTTATGGCTGAGTAATATTCCATTGTATTTATATACCTTATCTTTATCCATTCATCAGTCGATGGACATTTGGGCTCTTTTCATAATTTGGCTGTTGATAATGCTGCAATAAATATGGCAGTGCATGTATCCCTTCAAATGAGTGTTTTTGTATTCTTTGGGTAAATACCAGCAGTGCTAGGAAGTTTTAAAAGCATTGCTGGACCTGTTTTCCATTTGGCTTGTTCTACTTTAGAATCCAGGAGTATTATGATGTTTGGCCACCTTATTATCACAGGATTTAAAAGCAATGTATATTGTAATATCAATGTGTTCACCTATCTAAAATATTGTAGGTGGCTACTTCCATGTGCAACCTTTACTCAGCACATTCTTCATGCTTCCAATTCCACAGCCACCAAGATTTCTAATCTTTTCTGAATCCCTCATTTAATTTGTGTAATTACTGGTTGAAAGTCCTCATTTCTAGGGTCGTATCACCCAGCTCCCTGAGGGTATCATTCATATCATAGTCTTTGAAGCCCTGCTTACCTCTCTTATACGAGGCAGTATTATTATTATTATTATTATTATTATTATTTTTATTTTTTTAAAGATTTTATTTTTTTATTTGACAGAGAGAGAGAGAGACAGTAGAGCGGGAACACAAGCAGGGGAGAGGGTCAGAGGGAGAAGCAGGCTTCCCGCCGAGCAGGGAGCCCGATGTGGGACTCGATCCCAGGACCCTGGGATCATGACCTGAGCCGAAGGCAGACGCTTAACGACTGAGCCACCCAGGCACCCCGACGAGGCAGTATTATTTAGTAGAAAGGGCAAACGTTTGAAATTATATAAACCTATATAGGCTTCTTTAGGGCCGACACCTGCACTCTGCCACTTAGCAGCTATGTGGATTTGAGCAAGTCAATTAACTTCCATGATTGACCCTCAATTTCCACATCAGGGAAACTAAGATAACAATCTACTTTTCAGAGTTGTTGTGAGGACTATTGATAACATATTTCAAGTGCCAAGTATTGTTTGTGGTATATAGCAGGCATTTATTACTTCGTAATTATTGAGGAATGATGTCAGCATTATGGCAGCATAAGACATCCCTCCTTTTTGTCCCCCTTTTTAACAACTAAATTCAGCAACCATCCATGAACAAAAGTATCTCTGTGGGCATTGTGGGATCCAGCACCATATGCCAAGGAACCTGGTAGGAATTTGCCCATGTGGGTCTTAGGTAACAATGAGATGGACTGTACTACAGGCTGCAGAAGCAGCTGCAGCCCCCTCAGCTGTGGTTGGGAAATCCAGGAGAGTGGTGACACTCACAGTGAGAGGGCTTTGTGGAGGTCCAGCTTTCCTGAGGAGAGATTCCAGCACTCCACTGGAGCAAAACAATATGAGTTTGGATGCACTGGAGAGGGTAAAAGGAATCCTGCCAGTGCTGCCCCACCCCCAAGGCAACACAGTGCAGGGCTGCGCTAGCTGGTGACAATCTCTCCCCAGGATGGGGGGTGGGGAGGGAGAGCTGTGAGTGACTTCCTAATTACCCCAGTTGTGTGTAATACTGCTGAGAAGCGTCCAAAGTGTTGAGGTGAGGCCTCTGTGACTGGGGGAAAGGATGAGATCAGGAATAGGCAGATAATACTAAAGAGCATTAAACAATGTGGTTTCTGCTGATGGCCTTCAGGACTCAGTAGGGAAGTTTGTCCATGAACTGCTGGAACAACC